AAAGGAGCCAAGAATATACAACTGGGAAAGATAGTGTCTTCAATAAATGCTTTTGGGAAAACTGGAAAGCACATGCAAAAGAATGGACAGCTATCTGACATCATCCACAAAAACTAATTCAGATGAATTAAAAACTTGAAGGTAAGACTTGAAGCCCTAAAAATCCTAAATGGAAACATAGGGGGTAAGTTCCTTGACATCCACTTTGGTTGATGATCTTTTGGATTTGACACCAAAAGCAAAAATAAACAAGTGGGTCTACATCAAACTAAAAAGCTTCTTCAGAGCAAAAAAACCATCAAGAAAATGAAAAGGAAATCCCAACAACTTACTGAATGGGAAAAAATATTTTCAAATCTGATAAGAAGTTAATATCTAAAATATATAAAGATCTCATACAACTCAGTAGGAAAAAAATCTGATTTTTATAAATGGGCAGAGGATCTGAATAGACATTTTTTCCAAAGACATACAGATGACTAACAGGTACATGCAAAAAGTGCTCAATATCACTAATTAGAGACAAGCATATCAAAACCATAACGATATATCTCCTCACATCTGTTAGAATGGCCATCATCAAAGTCAAGAAATAACTGATGAGAATGTGGAGAAAAGAAAACCCTCATGCACTGTTGGTGGGAATGTAAATTGGTGCAGCCACTAAGAAAAATAGTATGGATGTTCCTCAAAAAATTACAAATAGAATTATCATATGATCCAGCTATTCCACTTTTGGGTATTTATCTCAAGGAAACAAAAACACTAATTTAAAAAATAATATGAATCCATATGTTTATTGCAGCATTATTTACAATTGCCAAAACATAGAAAAAAACCCTAAATATCCATAGATAGTCAAGTGGCTTTAAAAAATGTCACACACACAAATATTATTCAGCCATAAAAAATAAATCTGGACATAGAGGATCTCAAAGGAATTATGTTAAGTGAAATAAGTAAACCAGAAAGACAAATACCATATGGTCTCATATGTAGAACCTAAACAAAACAAGAACATAACAAGCTCATAGATACACAGAACAGATCAGTGGTTGACAGAGGTAAAGGATTCAGGGCCCTAACTAGTCTGGCTCAATGGATAGAGTATCAGTCTGTGGACGGAAGGGTCCCAGGTTCGATTCTGGTCAAGGGCACATGCCTGCATTGTGGGCTTGATTCCCCAGTGGGGGATGTGCAGGAGGCAGCCAATAAATGATGCTCTCTCATTATTTATTTTTCTACCTTTCTCTCTCCCTTCTTCTCTGAAATCAATAAAAATATATTTTTAAATAGGGATTTAGGGTAGGGGAAATGGATGAAGGGGGTCAAAGGTATAAACTTTCAGTAATAATGTAAATCCTTGTGATAAATGTATAGCATGGTGACCATAGTTAATAATACTGTATTATTTATTTAAAAGTTGCTAAAAGAGTAGATCTTAGAAGTTCTCATCACTAGAAAAAAATATATATGTGTGGTGACATGTGTTAACTATATTTTGTGGTCACCATTTGCTTTATATACAAATACCAAATCATTTTGTACCCCAAAAATTAACCTACTGTAATATGTCAATTACATCTCAACTTAATAAAACAACACAGATTTTTAGAACACCAGCAAATTATATGTATCGCCGATAAGTCACCAAGTTCTTAGTTCATTAGGCAGATGACAACCTGCAAATCCAATCCATGAAATAGCATACCAAAAGGCTACACACATACATACTAATAAAAGCCTAGGTGGCCCTGACCGGTTTGGCTCAGTGGCTAGAGCGTCAGCCTACGATGCACCTTGGTTGTGGGCACATCCCCAGTAGCAGGTGTGCAAGAGGCAGCTGATTGATGTTTCTCTTCCATTGATGTTTCTTTCTATCCCTCTCCCTTGCTCTCTGTAAAAAAATCAATAAAATATATTAAAATGCCCTCACACCATCACAAGAGAACTGTGGGCACAGTGAAGGCAGGGTTCCCACAGCTCTGCCATTGCACCACAGGGGCGGGGCCTCAGCAGCCACTCGGGGCAGGTTCCACTGGGGTTCTCGTGGCCCTGCACCTGTGGGGGCAGGACCCCTGGCTCCAGCCTACCTCTTTGGGGCAATCCATTGAGGAGCCCTGGATGGGTGGGTAGGGCCTACCTCTTTGGGGTGATCTTACACTGGGCTCCTGCACTGTGAGAGGGCACAGACCAGGCCGGGGGAATTCCCTCCCACCCCCCCACCCCCGCCCTCCTGAGTGCATGAATTTCATGCACTGAACCTCTAGTTATTCCATAATCTGGGCTATAAGGCAGAAACTCAGGGAAACGGCGAAAGAGCCCCAGAATCTCGCACGTTGAGTGCAGAGGACAGACTGTTGACTGTGCCGCTGGATTACCCTAGCGGCAAGGAGACAAAAGCTCTGTACTGCACTGAACCCCAATTCCGGGCTCATTGGGGGAGAGACTAGACTGTCTGGTAGTGGGCAAAACTGAATGCCCTCACACCTTTCTCTCAGAGGTGCTTGTAGTGAGTACCAAAGCAGCAAGTACCAAAGGACAATGAGGAACACTGAGACTCAGGAACCTTATAGGGTGAGGCTGACAGGAAGCAAGGCTGTAGGCTCCACCCTGAAACTCTGTCCCATCCAAGCTGAGCACAGAAGCTTTTGAATAAGGCTGTCTCTTGGCATAGACACAGTTGATCTTCACAGCCAATTGGCCTGGAGGTCAGTTCCTCCCATTGATACCAACAACAAGACTTAACTACAAAAGGCTGTACACACAGTCCACAAAGGGGTGCACCAAGAGTGTCCACCTCAGATAACTGGGAGGCTGACCCACTGAACCATATAGGACACCTTAGCACACAAAGCCACCCTACCAACTTAGGGAAGCAGTGAAAATGCCGAGAAAAGGAAACATATCACAAACAAAAGAAATGGAGGACAAAAAGCGACTGGATACAGAGTTCAAAACCACGCTTATAAGGTTTTTCAAGAATTTCCTAGAAAAGGCCGATAAAATAAACGAGACCTATGAGGAGATGAAAAGGGATCAACTAGAAATAAAGAATACATTGTCTGAAATAAAAAATATTATACAGAGCCAAAGCCGGTTTGGCTCAGTGGTAGAGCGTCGGTCTGCGGACTGAAAGGTCCCAGGTTTGATTCCAGTCAAGGGCATGTACATTGGTTGCGGGCACATCCCCGGTAGGGGGTGTGCAAGAGGCAGCTGGTCGATGTTTTTCTCTCATCGATGTTTCTAGCTCTCTATCTCTCTCCCTTCCTCCTCTCTGTAAAATACCAATAAAATATATTAAAATATATATATATTATACAGAGTCCTAAAAACATAATGGAAGATCGCAAGAATCAAGTCAAAGCTTTGGAACACAAAGAGCAAGAGGACACTCCTTCGCAGAAGCAAGAAGACAAGAGAATCCAGAAAGTTGAAGATAGTGTAAGAAACCTCTGGGACAACTTCAAGCGAACCAACATCAGAATTATGGGGGTCCCAGAAGATGAGAGAGAGCAAGATACCAAAAACATATTGAAAGAAATAATGAGAGAAAACTTCCCCACCTGGTGAAAGAAACAGACTTACAAGTCCAGGAAGCGCATAGAACCCCAAACAAAAGGAACGCAAAGAGGACCACACCAAGACACATCATAATTAAAATTCCAAGAGCAAAGACAAAGAGAGAATATTAAAAGCAGCAAGAGAGAAACAGGTAGTTACCTATAAAGGAGCACACATACAATTGTCAGCTGATTTCTCAACAGAAATCATGCAGGCCAGACGGGAATGGCAAGAAATATTCAAGGTGATGAATAGTAAGAACCTACAGCCAAAAATAATCTACCCAGCAAAGCTATCACTCAGAATTGAAGGCCAGATAAAGAGCTTCACCAATAAAAAAAAAAGCGAAAGGAGTTCATCACCACCAAACCAGAATTATATGAATTGCTGAAGGGGGTTCTTTAGGAAGAGGAAGAAAATAAAGATAAAAATTATGATCAACAAATACGTAACTGCCGAAACCGGTTCGGCTCAATGGATAGAGCATCGGACTTCGGACTGAAAGGTCCCGGGTTCGATTCCGGTCAAGGGCAAGTACCTTGGTTGCAGGCACATCCCCTCTCTCTTCCTCTCTGTAAAAAAATCAATAAAATATATATTTTTAAAAATACGTAACTATCAACAAGTGAATCTAAAAACCAAAAAAAATTTTTTTTAAAAATCTGATGAACAATATTAACTGGTGAATATAATAGAATCAGAGGTATGGAAGGAGAGTGGACTGACGATTCTTGGGGAAAAGGGGAGAGGGGGATGTGGGAAGAGACTGAACATAAACTGTGCACCTAAGGATGAGGACAATGGGGGGCAGGGAAAGGGTAGAGGGTGGGGTTGGGAACCTGGTGGAGGGGGAAAAAAATGAGGAACTTTTGTAATAATATGAACAATAAAGATATATATATATATATATATATATATATATATATATATATATATATTACTGGTTTTTTACAGATAGGAAGAGAGAGTGATAGTCAGAAACATCGATGAGAGAGAAACATCGATCAGCTGCCTCCTGCACACCCCCACCAGAGAATGTGCCCACAATCAAGGTACATGCCCTTGATAGGAATCGAACCCAGGACCCCTCAGTCTGCAGGCCCACGCTCTTATCCACTAAGCCAAACCGGTTTCAGCACTCATTGTTAATGTTTCTATCTCTCCCTCTACCTTCCTCTCTGAAATCAATAAAAATATTTTTTTACAAAAGATACAAATGAATTCGTGTCAATTTCAGGATATTCCCATTCATGGTAAAACTCACTGGTTTATTCAGTTTTGTTATATTTTAGATATTGATAAACCAACCATGATCCTTTTTAAGTTTTCTATTTCCCTCTTCTGAAAGCTCTATATGTCTGGTTCTTCTGTTATATCCTTATATTCTACAAATACTTCCTGTTTTTCTGATGAATACGGTGTTTTGTTTATATTAGGCTAGGACGATGTTAGTCTTGTAACTTGGCTGGTCCTGCTGTTGAGATGATGGAAGAAAGGGGTGACAGTCTCACCCCAGGAACTTTCTCAAAGTTGAGCCTCCTCTGCTGCCCACACTCTCCCCCCATACTGCTCCTGGTAACGGCAAGGGCAGATCCGCCTCCAAATCTCCGAATCAGCATGGCCTGGAGACCCCTTTAGACAGTGGCACAGTCACGGCCCTTCTCGGGCTCCATTCATTCGCCTTCAGGTTGGTTCCATGATTTGGGAGCCTGGCCGGGCCTGAAGCAGGGCCTGGGGTAATCGAGACAAGAGGTTGGCTCCAGGAGGAGGGCGTTCCAATAGGTTCCAGCTGGGTCCTTTTCTTCAAGCAGCTCGAGCAGCGGCATTTGCACGGTGGCTGTATCCATAGACTCAGGTCAGGACCCGGGCGCGCCTTGTCTGCCTGCTCCCTGGGCCCGCGCGGCCCCGCTGGAGAGCTGAGCGCGGGCCTGGCCCGCCCCGCAGAGTTCTAGCGCGACCAGGGGCCAGCGCACAAACGCGCGGGGGCGCGGCCCCTGGGCAGATGCCGGACACTCCCCGCGTGCCCAGGGCCGCCTCCGCGCAGGGCAGCGGGCGGCCGCCTCCCCTCGCCCGATGCTCGGCTGTGCGCCGGGGGAATATCGCCAGGTGGTGCCAAGTGCTGTGGCTTACTTCAAGGACCTTCTCATCCACAGGCAGGTTTTCTCCTCCTCCTTCCTTTCCCCTCAGGGATACCCGTCTCTCACGTGTGCGCATCCTGTCAAACCTTGCTTTAGCTTCTGTATGGAGCCTTTCTCTCTTTCCCCACTCCGCACACCAGGAAACCTTTGGCTGGTACTGCCAAACGGTATAAAAGGGGCCTGTGGCTCCCTGGGTGTAACTTATGTGAGTATAATTTAAAAACACACACACACACACAAACATTTCATTGATTTTTTTTTTTTTTTTTTTTTTTCCAGAGAGGAAGGGAGATAGTTAGAAACACCAGCTGCTTCCTGCACACCCCCTACTGGGGATGTGCCCGCAACCGAGGTACATGCCCTTGACCGGAATCGAACCTGGGACCCTTCAGTCTCCAGGCTGATGCTCTATCCACTGAGTCAAACCAGTCAGGGTTATGTGCATATAATTTTAACAGCAAAACTGGACAAGAACAGTACAGAAAAGGAAAACTATCAGCAAAGTTACTCATAATCATAGGCATAAAATTATGAGTTGTTTGTTTATTTGTAATTGATTTCATAGAGGAAGGGAGAGGTAGAAAGAGAGAAACATCAATGATGGGAGAGAATCATTGTTTGGCTGCCTCCTGCATGCCCCCCACTGTTGAGATAGAAATGATGATAAAGCTCAGGCGGTATGTCTCAATGGTTGAGCACTGATTTATGGGCCAGGAGGTCACTGATTCCTGATCAGGTCCAGGTGGGGCTTGATCTCCAGTGTGGAGCATGCAGGAGGCAGCTGATCAATGATTCTCTCTCATCATTGATGTTTTTCTCTCTCTCTACCTCTCCCTTCCTTTCTGAAATCAATAAAAAAATATTTTTTAAAAAAGAAAAAAATTATGAGGACAACATTTTCTTGCTTTCAGTATCAACAGACAATTTTCAGTTTCAACACCAACAACATATTTATTATAATTTTTTTATGGATGCCCTTTAACGGATTAAGAAAATTTCCATCTATTCCTAGTTTTTAAAATCATGAAAAAAGTTGCAATTTATCAACTGCTTCAGCATCTATTGTAATGATCATAGGAGTTTTCTCCTTTAATCTCGTGATGTGGCAAATTCTGTTAATTTTCTAATGTTAAAATCCAAACTTGTATTTCTGGGACAAATGCAACTTAGAAAACATTTTCCTTTTTATACATTGCTGGTTTTTATATTAGTTAGAACAGTTTTTTGATGCTTAGAATTTTTTTGCCTTGAGTAAATTTGGCCTGTAATTTTTTTTTTCATATTGTCCTCATTAGGTCTTGATGTAAAGGTTAGTATTATTCTCATAAAACAAGTTGGAAAATGTTCCCTCTTTTTCTATTTTCTTAAATATATTTTATTGATTTTTTACAGAGAGGAAGGGAGAGAGATGGAGAGTTAGAAACATCGATGAGAGAGAAACATTGACCAGCTGCCTCTTATACCACCCCCTACTGGGGATGTGCCTGCAACCAAAGTACATGCCCCTGACCGAAATCAAACCTTGGACCTTTCAGTCCGTAGATCGACGCTCTACCACTGAGCCAAACTGGTTTCGGCCTCTTTTTCTATTTTCTTAGAGAGTTTGTGAAATATTGAAAGGATTTAATTTAGGAAGGTGTGTAAACAAGTATTAGAGAACTAAAAAGGAACTGCAGTAACACAGAGATAGTAAATCTAGGAAGTGTAATAGATACTATCCTGGTGATAAACATACAAAGAAAAGAGGTGGGGTTATTAAAAACGATAGACTTGTAAGCCAGTCAATGAAAGAAAAACACCACATGATCTCACTAATTTATGGATAATAAAGAACATTATAAAGTGATGAACAAAAAGATAGATACAGAGACAGTAAAGCAAACAGACTGTCAAATTACAGTGGGAGGGTTAGGGAGATATGGGGAGATAAGAGATCAACTGAAGGACTTGTATGCATGCATACAAGCATAACCAATGGACCCAAAACTCTGGAGGAGGGGGGGAAGACAGTGAGGGCATGTACCGGAGTGTGGGGGGCAATGATAAGATATGTACACATATAATACCTTAACTAAAAAAATGAAAAACAAAAACAAACTATGGACTTGGAGAAGGGACCTAAGGAAGCTGGGACACAGATATCTGAGGAGGGGTGCTCTCTAGCTGTCCAAGTTTCTCAGAAATCACATAAAAGACTTAGTCAGTCCTCAGTCCTTGAAAAGTTTGTTTTACTTCTAGTTTACTGTTATAGAAAGCAATTCCTCTTTTCTTAAGGAATCTTACTTCTATCTTTTGGAAAATTGTCATAATGTACTGAATTTGACAGTGAAAAGACACTTCAGTTCCACATATAAACCTACAGTGTCCACAATGTGTATGGCATTCTGCATGTGGCATGGGGGTGAGGGGCCCCACTGGGTATCTCTTTTGCCTTCCAAAAATTTGTTGAATTCTTTCATTTCTTTATCTATCCTTTCTAATTTTTTAAATCTTTTTTATTCCTTTCTATAATTTTAATGTGATTTTGAGTTTCATACGATGCATGTAATCAAATCATCCTTAACTATTAATCATATGTAAATTAATTTGTAAGTTATAAATATATTGTTTGATATTTATTAAATTACTCATTATACATTACAAAGTGTATTAAAATTAATTTGTAATTTTGACATTTTTATAATATTTCTTCTTCTAATATCAGCATTTGTTTTCTAGGTTCAAAGGAAAACATTAAACATCAAAATTAAAAATGAGTTACAACCTTATATTGATATAAAACCTATTAGCAAATAAGATGTTAGGAAAGGAGCTATTTCAGAAGAAGTAAAGGATATCACTAGTTTATTCAAGAAAGAAACAGAGTTGATGGAGAAGCCTGGATTTATTAAAGAAACATCAGGTTTATTAAAGGAAGCTTCTGATGGGAAACTTTCTAATCAGATTTATAAAACACATCTGGGAATGGATATATTAGGGACACATTGTGGTACAGCAACATCCTCTTCTGAACATAAGCCTACGAGTAATGAAGAAGGTCTATCATTAACAACTGAGATGACTGCTGAATATCAGGCTTCTGTTGATTTCTTATCTCATGAAATATTAGGAAAAAATAACCTACAATTCTCTGAAGAGTATCAGAAAGGACTTGACGAAAAGCCAGGTAACTTTACTATTAACCTCAAGGCCAAGGGTTTACAAGAATTCCCTAAGGGCATTATAAAAACAAAATATCTAAAATATCTATATTTAGACCAGAACAAAATCAAAGGTTTTAAAAGAGCAGACTTAACTGAGCTGCTAGGACTTGAAATTCTATCCTTGCAAGACAATGGGTTATCATCATTTCCATCTGAAATTCAGATACTTCATAATTTAAGGATATTAAATGTCAGTCACAACCAAATATCACATATTCCTAAAGAAATATCACAGCTTGAGAATATCAGGCAACTCTTTTTAAATTACAATGGCATGGAGAATTTTCCTTCTGGCTTAGAAAACCTTAGAAAGTTGGAAATTTTAAATTTGGCTAATAATAACTTAAAATATATACCAGATACTTTGTCTAGTTTAAAAAACTTGAGCGTTCTCAATTTGGAATACAATCAATTAACAATATTTCCTAAAGTTTTGTGCTTCCTTTCAAAATTAATTTCACTAAACCTTACTGGAAACCTGATAAGCAGTTTGCCTAAGGAAATTAGGGAGCTTAAACATTTAGAAAAACTTTTACTGGCTCACAATAAACTTACATTTTTGTCGGTGGAAATTTTTCAATTGTTCAAAATTCAAGAACTCCGACTGAATGACAATAAATTAGAAGTTATTTCACACAGAATTGAAAATTTTAGGACACTTAGGATTCTAATACTTGATAAAAATTTATTGAAAGAAATACCAGAGAATATTTCCCACTGTGTAATGTTGGAATGCCTTAGCCTCAGCGATAATCAATTAACAAAACTTCCTAAGAACATCCACAAGCTTAAAAATTTAAAAATCTTCAATGTAAACAGAAATAATATAATGAAAATACCTGAAGATATTTCACATTTTAATAATATGCTTAGCCTAGGATTGTCAGGAAATATAATCATAGATGTTCCCATTGAAATAAAAAACTGTAAGAAAATAACTAAAGTTGAGATGAGTTATAATAAAATAACATATTTTCCAATAGGTCTGTGTGCTTTAAAGTACCTTTATTATTTGATTATTAATGGAAATTATATTTCAGAAATACCTGTGGATATATCTTTCAGTAAACAATTGCTTCACTTAGAGTTTAATGAAAACAAACTCCCCATATTTTCTGA